GGATCAGAAGTTCTAAAAAGCAGGACTGAAGGATAGGAATGGGCTATATAATTGTAGGGACCCCATTTCCTTAGGGAACAAGTGTAAAAACAGGAATGGCACTATAACAAATGTGTGCAGACTGCTGATAAAATTAAAAAGTCAGGACAGGCATCAGCAGGTCTATATCAATCAGAGAAGCTTTCAACTGGTATATTAGATACTAAGGGTATAACTAGTTTTAAGATTGTAATCAGGTTATAAAATAGATTATTTGACATGATTGCCTTCAGGAAGTCCTCTCCTGGACTATCAGAAACATGGGTATGCTAATATGATGCCTCTATCCTAATGAGCACAAGATAACATTTTTGAAATTTGCAAAAGGACCTGCGGATCAGTTTTAAAGTCATTTCCAGAAAAGACATTTACTCTGTAGTATATCATACATGTTGATCCTTGTCACTGGAAATCTGTTTTGCCAAGTAGAATCTGTAAGTATAGGTTGCTCTGGTTTAGTTTCTCTGTGGAAAGTTTGGGTGCTGGACTGCTGTGGTGCAGAACCTTGACAACACACAGAAAAGTAATGGCAACTTGCCCAGAACTCAAGTGCTGCACCTGATTTCCATACAAATATACATTGAATTGTATAAAATATTGCATCAGAATTGTGAATTTTATTTAGTTATCTATTTATAGGGCACTGCAAATGTAGGCAGCATTTTACAGAGCAATCGAAAATTGCTGTGTGGTAACAAAAAGGAAAAGCTGTGCAAAAGCATAACGCTGTTCACAAAAAAATTGTAGACTTAAATGATTTTCAGTTTACTGTGCTGATATGAAAAGTCTGAATTCCTGATGCACAGCATTGAGCTTTGCCAGAGGATTTTTATAAACAACTAGTGAACAACATAATTTGTTTCTGCCAGATAAAGTTAGAACCTATCAGGCATGTCATAAACTGCTATCAAGTCTCTGAGATTCTTCTTCAGCTCAGGCAGGAGCAGCAATTTGTTTGGAGTGGAAGCACTGGAGAATGGTGCTTGGTGGAACTGTAAACATTGTATACTGGCTGTGGTATCAGCATATAAAGTGTAGGGTTTCCAACAGAGTTGGTAGAAAATGGGAAATGTTTGGCCAGGGAGATTTCCTGGAAATACATTTTCAGCAGAATCCAGTAGCTCTGTGGTGTCTGGTGACTTCAATGAAACTTGATGAATTTATAAACTGGTCTGAACTTTTCGTTTTGCTTCTGGCACTACTGTCAGTCCCCATTAAGAAATGCAGCTTTATATGACATAAACTTTGATTAGATTTTGATTAAACTTTGATAGAGACTTTGATTAATAGCACTGTATGGAGAAGCCAGAACAAACCTCCCAGGGGTTGATGAAGAAAAAATTGTCAATGCAGTAAACAGGAACGAGAAGCTAATCTATAATTTAAGCAATGTGTTAATTAATACAGTATAAATAATGAAATCTGTGGTAAATCCAGGGAGTAATCTTGTCTATCTGCTCATCTAGGTGTGGTTAGAACACCATAACTTGAATATGAAAGTAGTATCTGTACGATAACTGTATGATGGGAGTCTTTCCAATCAGATGGTCAGCAGGATTTTTTTCTTGCTGGAATTTACTCATTTTAAGATGAGAAACCTTTTTAAAATGGCATAGTGGAAAAACTGAAATAAGTAAAAAAAAAAGGCAAGGGATGGCTGCTAGTCTGTGGGCAGGACTCCAAATGAGGTGCCACATAAAGGGACAGCCCTGACCTTCCTTCCTTACCCTGATGCCATGTCCTCCCTTGCCTCCCCAGGGCTGGCATTACCCATTGTTGATATCCCTCTGTCCCAGGAAGCTTGGCTGTGCTCAGAGCAAAGGCAGGAGGAACACTGAGGAAAAGAGGAAGGAATTACCTATTTCAAGGCACATCAGTCAGACTTCTAGAGAGCAGATATTTCTTCAAACTCAAAGGAATCACCAGAGTGGAAAAGGTGGAGGTAATAGGGGTATTAGCACAGCTCCAGTTTAGCCCACTGTCAAACTGATGTTTTCATCTTCTTGAGAACTTTGCATCTAGAAATCATCAGCTTCCCACACAAACAATTTCACACCTTCCACTCAGGTGAGAGCTGGCTGCTAGTTGTAGGCAGAATAAGAATGAACATTGCCTCTAAATGTGCCAGTTTTGACGAAATCTTAAGGAAGAATCAGGGTTTTAGATGATGATTTGGGTATTGTATTACTATTACTGGGATATCCCTGGATGAGGATGCAGAAGAGAGATGCCATTCCATAAGGTCTGTCCATGGCCTCCCACACAAGCCTTGCTCCACTGCAGGGTCATGATACAGGGTACACAATCCTTGCTAGATTGCAGTTTTAAAATTCATGCTTGGGGAGCCCAGGCAAGTGCTAAAGGATCCCTGTGGTGTATCCTCAGGGCTTTTGAAGTGGTCTGTGCTGCAGTGCATAGGAGATTGAGGGGACAGGTTTTTCAGATATTGCACAATATTGCTCATGATCCCCATAAAGATCCATGTACAACTCTGCACATATTTCTTCCCTTGATTAGCAGGGCGTAGTTACTGAAATAAGAAAGAGTCTTAACCAAGCCAACATCCATTACAAAACTTGGAATCTTCAGTAACACTGATAACATTCTCCTGTTGGGAATAATGCTATTTAGTTGCATTTGGAATTAAAAATATAGAATTAAATAAGTAAAAATACTTAAAAGATTTTCCTTGCAGTAATTAATAGATTAATAGTAGAAGTACCCTGCTTACAGACCATTCATTTCCTGTGCCAAATTTGTGGTTTGTGAAAGTCATAAACTCTTAAGAACACGGACCAGCAATGTCACTTAACAATTCTCATAATAACTTTGTCCTGTGGGACAGAGAACTAAAAGAACAATAAAAACAATAAAAAACCAGTAGCATTCCCTAAACAAAGAAAATCAATCAAACACCCTGTTTATTGATCCACGTTGGAAACCTCTCTAACAGGCTCAGTGAGTGGACAGCTAGATGAAGAAAATACCTATGGCTGGGCTTTTTAAAACACCCATTTGTAGCCTGATACCACTGAGAAAAATTATGCTCTTCTTATGCAGCCTTGCATGCAGCTAATCCACCATCCTGTGGTGCAATGCATTAGCCTTACCATTTCTTTAAGAAAGGAGAGAAAACAGAGAAAGGATTTTCACAGCTGGCAAGATGCTAAAACATATTAGCTTTTATCATGAGAGTATAATGATACTACTGTTTAAGAAAATCCAGCATCTTGTTTAATTTTCTTAGTTTTTTAAAATTGATCCTTTTCTCTGTGGAAAAATATGGGAGAAGGGAGCATAAGTAAATACCATCAACCTTCTCAACTGCAATCCATAATTATAGTTTTATTACTTTCTGGTTTCTGAAATGTAGGTTTTACAGAGCTGATTGCAGGGTGCAGGAACCATTTCTGCCTTTTAAACTGAGGCATCTCAGGTCTTCTCTAATTAACCACTTGCAGAGTGTATCACAGGCTTAGTGTCTACTCACCAGGCTCATTTCTCAGAGAGAGATCTGTTATTGCACTAAAATGAGGGCAAGAGGCATTCTGTATAAATAGTTTATGAAGATAGCTAAATTACAGCTGACCATACAGTATTCTGCCTGGGTTCTTCTCCTAAGTCTTTCTCTGGACTCACTTTTTCTGGGGAAACAAATCTTGAAGTGATAATACCTTCTCTGCAATGATAACAGTTTGAGAAATTGAAGTAGGAAGTGCATAGGCAAACTTCCTTGTACAGAGCACCACCTAATTAAAATAGAAACTTTGGTTTTCTTTTCCCATTAAGGTGGCAAAGTTTTAGATCTAATGGAACAAAAAACACAGGAAGAAGTACAGTTCTTTATTACATGATGGTTCAGAGCTCTGTAAAAGTAAAGCCTCTGATTTATCCATAGGAAACTGCCCAGGATCAAGATCTTCACACAGTTACCCACTTTGTGCCCAATCCTTTTTTAGCCAATCAGATTCACTTCATGTTACTCATAACAAGCTAACCAGACCCAACATTTCTTGGAGCAAGGAGCTGTCACATTTTCTTCTTGTACAGTGGTAAGCACATGAGCTGTTCCTTAAAAGCAAATGACAAAATTCTGAATTTCCTTCCTCCCTCTGTCCCTCTCATTCTCCCCTCCTCCCTTCACTCCTCACTGCCTCATGGCATTTTTGTCACCTTCTGGATTCCAAGTTCTCATTCCCTTGCTAAAAAATTCCATCCAGGTGCAGCCATAAGGCAAAACAATGGCACAATACAAAAGGACAGCTGTCAGGTAGCCAAAAGCAGCATGAGAAAAGCAATAGTGAGTGAGATATTCCAATATCTGTATCACTGACTGACAAAGCCCTATAGTAGGACATATGCATGCATTTACCATTTTAGAGAAGTAACCACACTTGCTGAAAGCATCAACCTTGGAAAGAAACACAGAGTGTGAAGGAATGAGTACTGCTGGAGAGATGATTTGTATTATTTCAGGTAAGCACGGCCGAGAGCTGATGGGCATAAACATTTGCATTATCTTCACAGAATTGCTGTTATCTCCTGTGCCGTCTCCTGCTTTGCATAATGCCATATCAACCTCATTACTGCAGTTTGCAGGGTTTTGAACATTCACAGAAAAAAGCATAGGGAGAAGAGTAATAGTTTGATTGATGCAATTTTCACATTGGCCCAGTGGATAATCAGAAGTAGCTCTTCTATTACAAGGACATGCAGAAAGCAAAATATTTTAAATCCTACCCACAACCCAGGGCCATTAAGAAAGGCTAAAAAATCCTCTAATAACACAGTCTTTCTTGACAGAGTTATTGTTAACAGCTAAATAGCAGCTAGCAGGCAAGATCTGCTCTTATGACAGGACTACAAGGCACACAGCAGTCTGAACGAAGGATAAATATGTATGCGTGGAAATTACATCTTCCAAAAATGATAAAAAATAAATAGATTAAATGAACCCCTACCTTGGAGTGCCTGGAGTGTACGAGTCTGTACAACAATACAGAGTTGCAGGACCAGCTGTGGTGCACTTTCCAGAAAGGTGGCTAGCAAATGCAGCATACTCACATCTGCATACTCATACACCATTTTCCAATAAAACCGCCATCTGTCATTCTCTCCACTCTGTCGACTCCGGATACCCAAGTACATCGTGTGAAAATACCTGGAAATGAAAGAGAGTGGTTATAGAAGCACAGAATTTTATTTTACGTGTTCTACTTGTGCTTGCAAACAATGTTTTGTTCAAAGTACTTCAAAATAATGAACGTTTATTTAAAAAGATCATTGTATTTCAATTTATAATAGTTTATGTGATAAGAGTAAACTATACTGAAGGCAAGACTAGCCTTTTTAAGGCCATTAAAAAGGCTTAGCATTGACTTATTTGTTAAATAGTATTTCTTTCAAGGACCCAGTTTTCTAATTTGAAATATACAGGTGATATCTTGATTATATGGCCTTCCTCAGAGGTTTTGCAAATAATGATACGAAAAAAACGAACTCTTTAATGAGAACCTGCGAAGAACTAATCTCCTTCTGTAAGGCTGTATTAGGACTTGGAGAACCACCTGCACTGCAACTCTGAGGTGTTCTTAGCCTGTAGCTCTGCTATGGCAGAACTTATTGTCCTGCTTTCCCCCCATCTGACACACTGAGTATTTCAGATACTGCCAAATGTATCGTGGTTTTTTTTTCCTCGTAGTTTGATTATTTTAGTCGGAGAGAAGATGTAGCTGTGAGTTCCTATTTTAGAAGGCGTGGAGATGTGGCTGTGGGTTCCCTTGGAGATCAGAAATGACTCACTATGGTAGCTCCCATGCAGAAGCAAGCAGCAGCAGGAGCCAGGAGCCCAACAGGCTGCTGCTGCTCCCCGTAGTAACCAGCAGATTAAGGGAGCAAGTGGCAAAGCCCCTCAGCTCTTGTGCCCTGTGCAATCAGCAGGAAAAACACCTGGCAATCAGCTCATAGCTAGATTTTGGTGGGTGCAGGAGCAATGAGTGGTTTTAGGAAGCAAGGGAGGTGTTCTGAAGGCTAGTGCCCAGATGCTGTGATGCCTGTGGTGACCCTTGCAGAGCATGCAGCAGCTTCCCATGACACACCTGAGTCACATCACAGTGATCACTCTGGGTGGCCTTTGATCTGCTCTGTTATTCTGATCTGATATCAGATATTCTGTGTCAGAAAAGCTCCCGCATTGTTCCTGCAATTTTAGTTCCAAACTAATTAAGGCTGGCTGAAAAAAATCCCCAGTCTCACTTAATGAAAAATTTTGAAGATTAAGGTATTGTCTTGCATCAGGGTGCCTCGTGTCCTGCAGTAGTAGCCTGGGGAGCTACTAACTGATGTGGATCTTTTTTTCTCTTTTTCTTGAGTATCTTTCATATTCTGTTCCTGACATAATTTTCTTATGATATTTTTAATATGTCCTCACAGCAATTTTTTTAAGTGAGATCCTATTTTATAATTAGAAAAAGTTTAGTAAATTTTAACCACTTCCAATATGAATTGCTTTAATTAGTTAATATAAAGTATTTCAGTATTTCTTCTTTCCACAAGTTCTTGTCTTAAAACCCTTTTCCTAACTGGTGGAGCATGGTGAATAGTGAAATCTCCTTTTACAAAGGTTGCATGAAACCTCTAATCTCTGCTCAGCTGTAACTCTGGAGGTGTCTTATGCTGATGGGAAGACTTTTGACTTCTGACTGGCAAAGAGCCCAAGACTTGGTTGCCCCCCTGAAGAATGACCCAATGCACCCTTGTACCCAATGCTCACTCTATGCAGAGCAGCAGTTTTTATTCAGGAATATTCACCAGACAAAACCAGGGACTAGCACAGAGAAACAGCTGAGAGGACAGATCTGAGCCTGCAGCATTTCTCTTGACAATGCACATCACAGCAATATAAAAGGAAAACACATTAAACTCACATTTAAATTAAAATCACACCAGGTGGCTTTGAATTTTATCAAAGTCCCATGTGGGAGTGAAGCAGCAATGAGCTGCTCAGAGACTGAGACCACAGAGGTACAGTAAACAAGACACCAACTGTAACTTTCATGCAAAACACTGAGCAGGTCTAGATGGGTCAGAGTGTGATGGCATAACTGGGGCTCTCTGGTGTCTTTGGGGTTAGGTAAAGTGGAATGGCCTGCTGCCCAGATCTGACAGCCACTGAGCTGGAAAGGCATCTTTTGCTGCACAGTTCTGTTAATGGGGTCCATTGGACCCACTGGTTCTCAGTCACGATCCATTTAATTGTTCCTAACCTCTCATTAAAGTCCTGCAGCACAACAGGGACAGGTAAGGCTTTTATTTCCTTCTGCAGTTTATTGTTTGGGTGGGGTCGGTTTGTCCTGCCTAACATGTCCTCCCAAAGGGCACACCTTGGAATATTGCACATAGTGGGACCAGACAGCATCTTCAACACCATTCTTTTAAGATACCACTAACCTTTCCTATAAATTCCTAAAGGAGCTGTGGCTGCTGAAAGTTGTGCCAGGAGGCTCTAGCTCTGCCAGTGGAGCCATCTGCAACTTCAGTTCTACAGCATTTGTACAAAAAGTACTTTTCCTATTACAAAAATGACATACTGTGGCAGGTGAGGACCCCTAGGGTTCTCTACCTGCTCTGCAGAGTGGTTGTGCATGGCAAATATGTTGTGATTAATGAACCCGTATGGAAATATTTCCTCTCCCATTGCACTTTATTGTGAAACACTGGCAGTGAGTTATTGGGGACTGGGGAATCATTGCTCTTTGTCTACTTAGCTCTCTGCAATTTAAACACAAGACGTAGAGGAGGAAGATACTTTCTGGTTTTACACACTGGGGACCAAATTGGGTGATTTTTTTTCTGTCCTTTCAATTTTGGCCAAATTAATTGCAGGCTGAAATTAACATTTACACACATAATTACTGTCACTGATTTATAGGCATAATCAGGTGATTAGACAGCTAAACATTCTGATTTGCATCCACAATTAATTGCACTAGCAATTGATGTTAGGTGTGCAAATTAGGAGTTATTAAAATAAAAAGAAGGTCTAATAAAATGATTCATATATCAAAGACACTTTTTTTCTGATTGTGAAATATGGAACAATAAAATGGGAGAAAGTGCTTTGTTGTAGTGGCTTCCAAATATAGCTTAACACTGCAGCAATGACACATTCCATTTTATATATATATATGCATTATGTAATTCCACTTCAGACACCCTCACCGGAGGCCTATTGTCAGCAAATGCCATACAGACACAGTCAGAGGTAGTTCCTGATTTAAAGCGTTTTTCTATTTTGGTGTTCTGGTATTGTTTTGGTAGAAATTCACATTTTTATGTGGGTCCAGGTTGTGACTCTTTTATACAGTTATTCCAGAAAGATATAGGAAAAAGCAGTATAGAGTTCTGCATTGCAAAATTTTTTAGGTAAATTGATGTCAATTTTCCTGAAAGAACAGATGTGAATGTCATTTTTTTGGTTGTGATTGCATTCAGTCAACTACAGTCTTCTGCCGATGCTGGTGCTTTACCAATATACAAAACCTGCCTATTCATGTTCCCAAAAAGCATTTAATTGATATGTAAAGAGATGATAAAGAGTGAAAAATTGAGAGTTACAGCACCTGGCAAGAAAGGGAAAAGAAGCAGAAATGGGGAGTGTGGTAATGATACTGCCATCTAGCAAAGTAACTACTTTGTCTAATAAATCAAGTTTATCTTAAAGTCTCTTATTTCACTAGAAGAGTAAAGCCAAATAAAAATACACCACTTCACCCACTCCACAAAAAGACCCTAGAATTTCAGAGATCTTTCTTTCATAGCTCTCTTTGCAAACTCTCTCTTGTTTGTGTAGAAGAACTTGGACATAACTGATTTTCTTAGAGATTTTGAAATTAAAGGATTATGAGACCTCTCCTGTGAAGTCAGACTGAGAGAGCTGAGGTTGTTCAGCCTGGGGAAGAGAAGGCTCCAAGGAGATCTTATTGTGGCCTTCCAGTATCTGAAGGAGGATGAAGGTTATGGCTTCAAACTGAAAGAGGGTAGGTTTAATTTAGTTATAAGGAAGAAATTATTCATTGTAAGGGTGGTGAGACATTGGAAGAGGTTGCCCAGAGAAATTGTCAATGCTCCATCCCTTAAAATATTCAAGGCCAGACTGGATGGGGCTTTTAGCAACCTGGTCTAGTGGAAGCTGTCCCTGCCCATGGCAGGGAATTGTAACTGGATGATCTTCAAGATCCCTTCCAACCCAAACCATTCTTCCAGTCTATGATTCTATGAAATGTACTATGAAAAAGCAATATCAAAACTTTTTTATTTCAAAAGTATTCTCTTTTTCTCTCTCTCTCTCTCTCCTTTTTTTTTTTTTTAATGAGGACAGACCACTGCTTGGGTTACCAATGCTGATTTAAAGAAGCTTATGTTCAGAATTAATACAATGGAGTGAGAAGCACTATATCACTGGTAATCAGATGGCAACATATGTATTGTTATTTGAGCCTTAACATCTTAACCTTTGAAGGAAGTAGAGAATTTTTCAGCATTTAGCTGTCTTAAGTTATTTCAGTGCATCACACAGCACAGTATACAGACCATGATAAAGTATAACCCTTAAGGATGTGAATGTGAGACAAGACCAAGTGACATTCTTTTTCCATTATATTAATGATGGAAAGCAGTAAAGTAAAAGAGACAAACAGAAAACCAGGCTACTCATTATGTCCACAACAGGGTCCAAGATGCAAGACAAATAGAAATTAAAAATTACCTACATTTGTATTTGGGAAAAAAATGTATTTCTGTTATAGGGAAACAGACATTCATTCTGGTAAGACAGTGGCTCTCCAGTATTTCCAAAATCAAGAGCCCTCATTTTGCTCCAGATTCACATACCAATCTTAAGGATGGTCAGCATAGACTGAGATATATACATTTGAAATAATTCTGGTAACAATTCACTTATGATTAAAGCATGCCCACTTGTGTATTTAATTGAGATGAGGTAGTGTAACTATACCATAATACCAAATATTTATAGGAGTGCTTTCCATGTTCAAAGTGCTGTACAACCACTGCTTGATTAACTGGGATGAATGAAAATAATCTTACAGAGTTTGTTCCTCAGGAGTTGGCAGCTGACCAACCTAATATCTTTCTGCAGGACACAGGTATAACTTTCAGTCAGCACACTCAAATCCAGCTGAT